AAAGCGGCTCAAGAGGTACAGTAGTTGTTGTCATTTACCTCACAATTAATATTGTGAATCATAAATACAATATAAGATAAGACTGATTGCAAAATTAATTTCCATGTAATGTGATCACACATATGTAATCAAAGTGTGCGGATGAACACCTGCCCGGCCAATGGCCAGTCATCAAGCAATGTATAGACACTGATAAAGGCCGGGATATATACCGGATAATGGCCAGAAAGACCAAGGAGTTATACCCGTCGCCCACATACGTCCCGTGGGTTACCATCGATGGCAAGTTTGACAAGAAGTCTATGGCTTTGATCGAAAGCAATCTGATTAACTTCGTATGCCTTAAGGCTGTATGTCTTTCACATTACTATTGTATTTGAGTATAAATAATATTTTTCATCTGCCATTCCCCCAGAATCCCCGACCCATTGAATGTCCAAACTCTGGAGCCACTGATTATCTACAGCAAAATCAAGAAACTGTACCATCATCTGCTTTTGAGGCATAAATTATAAGCAAGTATTGTTTTAGTTTGAAAATGCTATTTATTAAAATATATTAATATGCATTAATTATTAAAGGTTGTAAAATTAATCATAAAAGTATAAAAGTATCATAAAACAATAGATTAATGTTAATTTTCAATATTGCAAATATTGTAAGCTAGCAAATTATTTTCCAATAAATTAATACACAGGTCGCTAATTTAGATTAATTGATTTTAAATTAAAATTTGTCACAAGATAAATTAATATACGGTATTTTAAAAATATGTTTTTCAATTACGTAAACCAATGTGAAACCTGATACCAGTCATCAGTTTGCAAATCAAACCATATTTAAGAAAAATAAAAAAATAATTATCTATTCATTATTAACACAAAAACCTGTATTTAATTAAAAAGTCCGAAAAAGTCATTACATAAAAATAACCTAAATTTAGAAAATCAAAAAAAACTTAATTAATAATAAGAGGGGAACTGGATCTCAGCCCCATATTATTCATTGGACTCGACGGACACGGATTGGGACTGTTTTTGCTTCTGTTTGCCAGCAGTGGAGGCCTTTGAGTTTCTACTGGCGCCTGAGATGGACTGCTTTTGACCGTCCTTTTGGGATATGGATACGATTCCGTTCTTGTTGACAGCTACGGCCTTTTGCTCCTTGCCCTGCACCTGTCCGGCCGCGATCCTACCTTTCTTCGACTTCTTCTTCTTGGGCTTCTCTGTCGTGGTCTCCGCGTCCTCTATGCAGACAAACAACAAAAAACACATTAAAAAACTAACAAAAAACTACCGGAGCGCCAGGTTCGTCGTCGTTCGGCACCATTACCTCCACCCTCATGGCCTCCATCCTCATGACCGGCTCCGTCAGCCTCGCCGGCGGCCTTCGCCACGTGACCGGTGGCCCCCTCAGCCGCCTCCTCCAGGGTCTCCTTGGCCTCCCCCAGCTTTGAGCCGAGGCCGTCCCCTCCGGTGGCGGCGGCAACGCTTTCTCCAGCCGTGTCGACCACTTCGCCGACCGG